CAAGAAGTATTCGGCCCCTAAATCCAGGATTGAAAAGAAAAAGAAGGAGAAAGTTCTTGCTACTGTCACAAAACCAGTTGGTGGCGACAAGAATGGTGGTACCCGCCCTAACTGGTCTGGCTCAGTGGATAGAGCGTCAGCCTGTGGACTGAAGGGTCCCAGGTTCGATTCCAGTCAAGGGCATGTACCTTAGTTGCGGTCACATCCCCAGTAGGGGGTGTGCAGGAGGCAGCTGATCGATGTTTCTCTCTCATTGATGTTTCTAACTCTCTATCCCTCTCCCTTCCTCTCTGTAAAAAAAATCAGTAATATATATTTTTTAAATCCAATACCCTTAAAAAAAATGAATGGTGGTACCCGAGTGGTTAAACTCCGCAAAATGCCTAGATATTATCCTACTGAAGATGTGCCTCCGAAAGCTGCTGAACCACGGCAAGAAACCCTTCAGTCAACATGTGCGGAGACTGCGGGCCAGCATGACTCCTGGGACCATTCTGATCATCCTCACTGGGCGCCACAGAGGCAAGAGGGTGGTTTTCCTGAAGCAGCTGGGCAGTGGCTTGCTACTTGTGACTGGACCTCTGTCCCTCGATCGAGTTCCTCTTCGTAGAACACACCAGAAATTTGACATCCACCTCCACCAAAATTGATATCAGTGGTGTGAAAATCCCCACACATCTCAGTGATGCTTACTTCAAGAAGCAGCAGCTGCACAAGCCCAGACACCAGGAGGGTGAGATCTTCGACACAGAGTAAGAAATACGAGATTACAGAATAGCGCAAGGTTGACCAGAAAGCTGTGGACTCACAAATTCTGCCAAAAATCAAAGCTATTCCTCAGCTCCAGGGCTACCTCCGCTCTCTGTTCACTCTCACCAATGGGCTTTATCCTCACAAACTGGTGTTCTGAATTTCTTATGAGAACCCGATTAAATAACTGATATGTTTTAAAAAACCAAAAATGGAAGTACACGCCCTAGCCGGTTTGGCTAAGTGGACAGAGCATCAGCATGCAGAGCAAAGGGTCCCAGGTTTGATTCCGGTCAAGGGAATGTAACTTGGTTGCAGGCTCCTCCCCCGCCCAGCTCTGGTAGGGGCTCCTGTAGGAGGCAACCAATTGATGTGTTTCTCTCTCACATCAATGTTTCTCTCTGTCTTTCCTTCTCTCTTCCACTCTCCCTAAAAAAATCAATGGAAAAATGTCCTCAGGCCCTAACCACTTTGGCTCAGTGGATAGAGCATTGGCCTTCGGACTAAAGGGTCCCAGGTTCGATTCCGGTCAAGGGCATGTACCTTGGTTGTGGGCACATCCCCAGCAGGGAGTGTGCAGGAGGCAGCTAAATTGATGTTTCTCTCTCATCAATGTTTCTAACTCTCTATCCCTCTCCCTTCCTCTCTGTAAAAAATCAATAAAATATATTTAAACAACAAAAAAAGAAAAAATATCCTCGGGTGAGGATTAACAAACAAAAACAACAACAACAAAAAGGAAGCACAAATTGGTAGTTACAAAATAGTCAGGGGGATGTAAAGTACAGCACAGGAAATATAGTCAATAATATTCTATTAACCATGTGTGATATCTCATGGGTATTCGACTTTGTAACTTATGTACATGTCTAATCACCATGTTGACACTGGAAACTAATATATTGTGTTGACTTATTGAAAAAGAAATTTAAGCCCTAGCCAGTATGGCTCAGTGAATAGAGCGTCGGCTTGTGGACTGAAGGGTCCCAGTTTCGATTCTGGTCAAGGGCACACACCTTGGATGCAAGCGGCCCTCCCCCAGCCTTGCCCTGGTCGGGGCACGTGCAGGAGGCAACTAGTTGATATGTTTCTCTCACATCAATATTTCTGTCTTTCCCTTTCTCTTCCACTCTCTCTAAAAATCAATGGAAAAATATCCTCGGGTGAGAATTTTAAAAAAATTGTTTTAAAGAAAATGGTGCATGATTTGGAAACAGCCTAAGTGCCTTGCAGTACATGAGTGGATTCAAGAACTGTGGTACATCTACAATCTACACAATGGGCTACTACACTGCTATAAAAAAGGAACTTTTACTATTTGCAACAGCATGGATGGACCTGGAGAGCATTATATTAAGCGAAATAAGCCAGTTGGAGAAAAAGAAATATCACATGATCTCACTCATATGCAGGAAATAATGAACAAAAACTGATGAACAGACATTAATCCAGAGACTGAACAGACAGTCCAACCTCAGAGAGAAGGCAAGGGAGGGGAGAGGGTTAAGAGATCAACCACAGGCTTGTATGCATGCACATTAGCATAACCAATGGACATGGGCACTGGGGCTTGTGGGGGGGGGGAGAGTGACAGGGGGCAGGGTCAATCTGGAAAAAAGGAGATAATATGTAATACTTTAAAACAAAGAAAAAGAAAATGGTACACATACGCACACAGAGGACTATTACTGTATTATTCAGCCATTAGAAAAAGAAATTCTGCCACTTGTAACAACACATTCATGGACCTTGAGGGCAGGATGCTTTGTGAAATAAGTCAGAAAAAGAGAAATGCCATGTGTTCTCACTTATCTGTGGAATCTTTAAAAAAGCACCTCCATAGATACAGAGCACAGACTGATGGTTGCTAGAGGTTCCAGGAGTGGTATACGGGGGTGCACTGGGGGTCAAATGAATGAAGGGTGTCAAAAGGCACAAACTTCTGGTTATAAAATAAGTCATGGAAATACAGCTTACAGCATGGTGACTGCAGTTAGTAATACTGTATTTCAGATTTGCAAGTTGCCAAGAGTAAATCTTAAAAGTTCTCTTTACAAGAAAAAAATATTCTGTAACTATGTATGATGACACATGCTAACTAGACTTATTGTGAGCACTTCGCATTACATACAAATATCAAATCTTTATGCTGTACACCTTAAACTAATCTAATGTTGAATGTCAATTGTAACTTAATGAAAAATAAAATCCTTTCTGTGCCCAGTCAGCTCAGCCAAGGGTTCGAAAGCCTGAGTGGGGGCGGTGAAGGATGAAGAAATGACAGACAAAGAGAATAAGCTGGGTCTAGTGGATCTTCCTGTGCCTGGCTGAGGCCACAGAGAGATCCAGACGCAGGCTGAGCCTTTATTTCATAGCCAGAGGTAAACAAGGTAGTGGTCACCACAGTTACAGTGTTCTTACGAGTTTCACTTGTGTTGGCAGCACTTGCTGCACCTCCCACAGCCCATTAGCTACCCAGGAAGGATCTAGGGAGCATCATAAGGTCAAGCCCAACTATGCTAACAAGACAGTGCCCTCTGAGCTGGGACTTGTTTGTGGCTTTGCCAACAGGTCAGTCAGAGGCTTAACCCTATAGCCGTGCCTTACACCTTTCTATAAAAAAAAAAAGATCACAGTGGATTTGAAAAACTGCAATCACCTAGTGATGTCACACCCATCACAATGTCATAGGGAAATGCATTACTCAGATGTTTATGATGATGCTGGTGTAAACAAGCTTGCTATGCTGCCAGTCCTATGAAAGTCCAGCACACACAGTTACGCTCACTACATAGAATACTTGATGATGAGAAACTGGTTTATGCATTTGCTATACTATCCTCTTTATCTTTGTGTGCTTTCTACTTAGTGACAGAAAACTTTGCTGTGAAGCAGTATGCTGTTTTATGCGGGCAGCAGCCTCAGAAGTTTTGTGTTGACTGTGCCTTTTGATTGCATCACTGAATCCTGGACTTGATTGAATCTGATTTTTGTAAATTTCTTGGCCTAAGTGTACAGTGTGATAAAGTCTACAGTCGGGTACAGTAACGTACTAGGCCTTCATATTCACTCACCAATCACTGACTCCTGCAGAGCAGCCTCCAGTCTGGAGCCCATTCAGGGTCAGTGCCCCACACGGATGTACCATTTTCTACCTTGCACACCACACTTTTACTGCACCTTTTCATAAATGCTTCCTACCACTGTATTACAATTGCCTACAGCATTCAGTACAGAAGCATGTTGCACAGGTTTGTTGCCTAGGACCCACAGGCTACACCATATGGCCTAGGTGTGTAGCAGGCTACACCATGCAGGTTTGTAAGAGAACTGAAAACAACAAAACTGCCTCAAGATGTCCTCCCCAGGTTCAGGGGTGCAGGACTGTATGTAACTGCAGTTTCAACCTCTCCCAGGAGTAAAATTTTAACCCAGTCACTCTGCAACTTGCTGTTCAACACTAATCTGTAGAAAGACTCCTGCTGTTCCTTCCCCTAAGGAAGGGTGACCCTGCCTGAAGCAATCCCCTCTTTTCTTTTACTAATAACCTCTCAAAGCCACTTCTTTTCTGCCTATTGGAAACGCCTTCCATTGTGAACAGCTGCTCTGAGATTCTATTTCCTAGATGGGATGCAGCCCGATTCGTGAATGGGGATCAAGCCAGTTAGACCTTCCAATTTATGCAGCTGAAGTTTGTTTTAACCGTTTGAAAAGCACCACAAAACAAATAGCTGATAAAGACGCTGTGACTCAGAGAAGGAAGATGGCGGTTAGGATTCGGGGGAGAGACTGGAAATGCAGGCACTTGTTGCAGAGCTAGGCCTGGGGGACAGGGGGTGGACTTGAGAGCCTGCTCCACAAACATCTAAACTCAGGAGAAAACGGGGTCCTTCTGGGGAGAAAGGAGGGACAGGGGACCCCACAGACCACAGCTCCTCCCATGCACGAACCGCGGAGACCGAGTCACCATTGTCCCCAATGACCCTCCCCGTGGTCACCGCACCGACTGCGGAGCTGAGGGTGCAGAGCTGCCAAGACCCGCTCCGCAGCCCAAGGCCCTGCCGCGGGGACACACTGGACGCCCGGGTCCCGGCTGGGCCCCACCCTGCGAGCCCGAGGGGCCTGCAGTTTCAGCGGAGCCCCCGGCGCCTCGGGTCCGCAGGCTCCGGACCTGACCGTGGAGAGACGGTCCCGCCACGGCGGCTCCACCCGCCCCTCCGCCCCGTCCCCGCGCCCGGCCGCACACTCACCATTTCTAGTTCCTGGACCTCCCGAGTCCCGCCCGCAGCTCCCACCACCTTACAGATCGCAGATGAGGACAGAACAAGGGAGATGAGATCTGACTGAACTTCCGCGTAGTAGCAGAGCGTAGCCCCACCCACCGCCCCAACGGCCCCCACCGCCCCCACCCACCTGGCACCCAGCTCCGTTGACCTTCACTACGCACCACACGCCCCCTAGCGCCTGAGGTGCACAGGCCTGAGCCCAAAGCAGCCAGATCTCCTGTCCAGGGACATTTGCACTGAGAGGCAGCGCTGAGAGGCCCCAGGGAACAGTGGTCCTTCCTTGCAAACACACACACTGAAAAGGCACCTAATGACTCTGGCTCCATTTTCATCTTTGTTGACAACTGGAGTGTGACGTGTGCATTTGCCAAAAAGGTGCACAGGCTCAGGTACCAGGGATGCCTTAGGGTGGTACCTTCCAGAACTACAGTCAGATTCCCAAAAAGAGCATTGAATCCAGAAACAAACCATCATTTCCAATATGAAAAGTGACTTCTGTGCATTTAGAATGGTTAACTTTAGAAAATGTTTTTCACATGAAAAAATGTGTTTCCACTGGTGATTCAGTCAAGGTCCTCTGAGGCCATGAGCCACCCCTTACTTGTGGTTGTCTTGTGGGCAGGTCCACAGACCTACCCAGAGTAGGGAGATGGGCCAGGCACAGAGGTCACCAGGGTGGGAAGCCCAGGTGTCCAGCAATGGGCAACCAATTGTAGGGTGGGGCCTGGTCCCCAGGGTGACTTTTCCTCCTCTAGCAGATCTCTGGTCCTGCGGTTTGGACCCCCTGATCTTCCTCTCTAGAGATAACATCTATGCCTCTTTGTATTTCAGCTCCAGGCCCAATAAGCAGCAAAATGCCAGGGCTGACATCAGGACCAGCTGCATTGAATAATGACCCCCGCCCTGGTGCCGGCCAATCCATCAGTGGAGGACACATCCCTGAATGGACACACCTGGAAAGCTACAGAATATTCCATTCAGCTCTTCCCCTGGGACCTCCCCTGAACTCTCCACCCTTAAAACCTTTAGGAAGGAGGACCCAGTGCGCTCTCCCTCCCTGGAGCACACCTGTACCTTTCCCTTCCCCTCCTTCTCCTCCTCCCCCAGGCAGGTTACCATTAGCTTGTGCTCCCAAGCTCCAAGGGCACTTTCTTTACCTCCTTAATGCCTTTCCTAAGCCCATTTCTTCTAAGACTTACTTCTCCTACCTCTGTAATTTACCCTGTAAGTGTTCTCTTACTCTTTGGGTCTTGCTCTGAATTCTTTTGTAGCCAGAACCCAAGTACCCTGGCTGCTGAACCCACGTTTGTTCTGAGCCCAGTCAGACACCTGGTGCCATTCCTGTTGCCACCACAGTTACACAGTTTAATCCAGCAATAATGAGATTTATCTGAAAACTGGGTTCCATCAATGTAAGAATCATTCACACCTCACAAGAATATTTGTGAGTTTATTGTCAGGAAGCAAAATGTCAATGGATTGAGATATTGTTCTGGAGAATGGAAGTTTTGTACCTTATCTATAATAATAAAAGCATAATATGCTAATTAGACCAGATGTCCTTTCAGACAAAGCCGGGGCTGTGAGGGAAGCCCGGGTCCCAGGTGCCAGAGGGAAGCCGGTGCCAGCAGCCGGGAGAAGGAAGGCCTATTCTTTTTTTAAAAAAAATATATTTTATTGATTTTTTACAGAGAAGAAGGGAGAGGGATAGAGAGTTAGAAACATCGATGAGAGAGATCGATCAGCTGCCTCCTGCACGCCCCCCAGTGGGGATGTGCCTGCAACCAAGGTACATGCCCTTGACCGGAATCGAACCCAGGACTCTCCAGTCTGCAGGCCGACTCTCTATCCACTGAGCCAAACCGGTTCGGCGAGGAAGGCCTATTCTTGCACGAATTTCATCCATCAGTCCTCTAGTTTTATATATTACAATCAGAAGAGAAGATTCAATTGGGTTTCATGAAATCCACTGGTGAGACATTAAGGGGTAAGAGGAGGTGGTTCTTGTAGTCTCCATCATGACAAACAGAAGGGGCAGAATAGACTTAGTGTCGCTGCATCCACCTGCACCATGGAAACCATGAGGTCTCAAGACTCACCCTACAAGATGATCTTTACAGCCAAAGAGCTCCACTTTTAACCTTAGAAGAAAAAAAATCTAACCTTACACCTAAAGAAACTAGAAAAACAACAACAAATACAGGCCAAATAAAGGAAATAATAAAGAAATGAGTAGCCCAGCCACTGTGACTCAATTTTTGAGCGTCGACCCATGTACCAAGAGGTCCTTGGTCAATTCCCAATCTGGGAATAAGCCAGGATGTCCAGGTTTGCTAGGGCTTGAAACCCAGCGGGGGGCATGCAGGAGGCAGCAGATCTATGTTTCTCTCTCTCTCTCTCTCTCTCTCTTTCTCTTTCTCTACCCCTGTCTCTTTCTCACTCTCTAAAATCAATAAAACCTCATTTGAAAAAATTAATAACCAACAATAAAATAGGATCTAAAAATTTATAAAAGATCAATGGAACCAAAAGCTAGTTCTTTGGAAAAAAATACACAAAATTAATAAAACTTTAACTAGAGTCATGAAAAAAAGGGATAGGACCCAAATACATAAAATTAGAAATGAAAGAAGATAAGTGACAACGACACCAGAGAAATCCAAAAACTTAGAAGACAATACTACGAACAACGAAATGCCAACAAATTTGAAAATTTAGAAAAAAGGATAAATTCCAAGAAACATACAATCTTCCAACACTGAATAAGAACAAACAGAAAATCTGAATAGACATACGATTGCTAATAAAATTGAATCCGTAATCAAAAAGTCCCAACAAACAAAAGCCCTGGACTGAATGGCTTCACAGGTAAATCTCACCAAGTTTAAAAAAAGAATTAAGCCAAAACCGGTTTGGTTCAGTGGATAGAGCGTCGGCCTGCAGACTGAAAGGTCCCAGGTTCGATTCCGGTCAAGGGCATGTACCTGGGTTGCGGGCACATCCCCAGTAGGAGATGTGCAAGAGGCAGCTGATCGATGTTTCTAACTCTCTATCTCTCTCCCTTCCTCTCTGTATAAAATCAATAAAACATATAAAAAAAAAATAAAAAAAAGAATTAACACGTAGCCTTCTCAAACTATTCCAAAAAATTAAGAGAAGGAATGGCTTCCAAACTCCATTTATGAGGCCAGCATTATCCTGATTGCAAAATAGACAGGCCAATATCTCTGATGAACATAGATGCAAAAATCCTCAACAAAATATTAGCAAACCAATCCAGCAATAAGTTAACAAGATCACATACCATGGTCAAGTGGGATTTATTCCCCAGATGCGAGGCAGCTTCAACATTCTCAAATCAATCACCTGATACACCACATGAACAACAACAACAAGTCATATAATCATACTTAAAGAATACAAAAAAAGCATTTGACAAAATTCAGCATTCATTCATAAATAAAATTAACAGTGAAGTGGGGTTAGAGGAAATGTACCAGAACCTAATAAGAGCCATATATACTAGTAACAAACCCACAAACACAAAAATAAATTAAGTAATTAAATAATTTTTTTTAAAGGGCCAGTTTCCGGCTGTGCCTTCGCCTCCTGGGGCCTGGAACCCGGGCTTCCAGGGTGCGGCTGTGGATACAGGAAGGGGGAATTTGGGGGGAGAGGGTTGGCAGATGAGGGTCCACAGGTGGGACAGCCCCCGGGAGCGGGTCTCTAAGTGCCTCTACCTTTGCCCCCAAGGCCAGGAACTGCCCCACCCCTGCTGGAGCCAGTGGTGGAGGGCCCTGGTAGGGGAGGTCTAGGGCCCCTGGAAACGCAGACCAAAGAGGGGTGGCAAGAACAGGGTTGGTCCCCACAAACGGCCCTAAGTCAAGCAGTTGTTTTCTTCTTCTTTGAAAAGTTAGATGATGGTTTCAAAGCTACTTGGACCTAGCCTGTACCTGTCGTAGCCAGAACAGCAGACTCAGTCACTGGAGTGTGTTTACTGAAAACTACTTGCTGGACAAGGAAGCGCCAACTCCTTAAAGGAGCCTGATGGCTCTTACCAGCCTGGTCAACCTCCATATAAATCTTCCACATGATAGAGAAGCACTTATTGCAACCTCTGTAGCCCCGAGAGATGCCTTCTTAGTGCAGTGGCTGTGCCCTAGTCTCTGGAACCAAAAGACCTGTCTGAATTCCAGCTCTGCCCCTTGCTAGGTGATGAGGTGTCTCTGAGAATGCACCTCACAGACCCACACAACAAGGAGCTTAATTGACCAAGGAGCCCAGCTGCTGTGCTCTGAAATGCACCAATGCACCTGTGCCAAGGCCTTGCTGCTTTCACAGCTCAGTGGCCAAACATGACAGAGATGCTAAGGTAGGCCTGTTTCTGGGAGACACATTGTTAGGGTTTTCAAAGGAGAAACACGCAAGGCCAAAGTGGTAAGGGATTATAACTTTATAAGGTCATCTGGAGACCAGATGGGCTGAGCCCCCAAATGGCACCAGTCCCCAAAGACGGGGAGTCAGAGGTTTTTAAGGACTCTAGGCAGGCTTTTTCTGGGTGGAGAATTCTCTGTGAAGGTGGGGATTCTGGGAAACTCCGGAGGGGAGAGATAATGGTCTTAGCAAGTGGAAAGTGGTCTAAGCAAGTGGAATGTCCATTGTGAAGTGGCCTAAAGGTTAGTAACCAGGGGAGAGGGTATGGATTCACTTATTTGATCAGACCTAACATTCTAGCCTTTTTGTTTTATGGAATAAGGAGGAAGGTCCTATCTTTTGTACTGACTTCCTGCTGAGGGGGGGACGTTGAGATCACAGGGAATGGACTTTGATAGTGGTGGACTGGAAGAGGGATAGCAGCAGCATGATTTCCCTGAGAGACTTGTTGGTGAAGGCTCAAAAACGGTCCTGCTGAGTGACTTGGGAGGTAAATGCTGGTCCTGAGGTTGCCACAGTGTCACTTGTCTGGTTTGGCTGCTTTTCTGGGCCTGGAGCTGAAATACACCTGAGGCCTAAACGTTATCTTTAGGGAGGGAAAGCTCAGGGGTCTAAGTCGCCTGACCAGTGATAT